TTGCAAACAGAGCTTTTCCTTTAATTAAATAATTAACAAACACAAAGAAAACTACAAGACTAAGACTGGAGAAGATGATTTTCAAGAAGAAAGTGACGGGATTCACTTTCAAGGTATAGTAATGAAGAGAGTGTAAAATTAGCACAAGGATAAAACATTGATTTATAAACAAATAAAATTGAGAAGCTAGAAACGAAGTCATGCATAATGGAAACAATAGCAGAATAGCATTATCATTCAAAAGAGAAATAATGGACTATTCAATTATTGGTGTTGGGATACCTGGATATCCACATGCAAAATGTTAGAATGAGACTCCCTTTTTCACACAAAAATCCATTCCAGGTAGATTAGAGACATAAGTAAAATTTCAAATTTGAGCAGAAAATACTGGAAAAAATTCAAATCTCAGTGCAGAGAGGTATTTCAAGCAAAAACACATAAAATATAAGCCATAGAAAAAATATATATCAAATTGAACATGTTTAAAACAGAAAGCTCCACATTCAAACAAGGGATGAGACAAGCTACAGACCAAGAAAGAGATTCAGAAAACAATACAACTGATAAATTATTGGCATTTAGAATATATTTTAAAAGCATAAAACGCCTTTAAAGTTATAGTCTAAAGACTAGCAATTCAGTGGGAAGGTGATAAAGAATATGAAGACATTTTGCAGGGGAAGAACCACAGATAGGCACTAAATGTGAAGAATCAACATCACTAGTCCTCAGAGAAGTTCAAATGAAAACCAGGCCACATGCCATTTCATCCTCTTCTGTTGGCAAAATGTAAAATCCTGAAAATTCAAAGTGTTGGTCAGAATGTGGAGCATAGAACTCATATGCTCCATGAGTGGGAGTACAAACAGGCACAACTCCTCTGTAAAATTATGTATCATTATCCAATAAAATTGAAAAGATGCAAAATCTATGATTTACAATTACCTTTCTAAGTATACACCAGCAGAAGTTTGTATGCATGTTCACAGAGATTAAAAAAAAATGTTTATAGAAACTTTGTATGAATATCAATAAATTGCAAACAACTTATATGTTTTCAACAGGAAAATGAATATGTATATGTTCATAACAAGTCAATATTAATCAGCAACATGGGTGAACCAGAACTATATGAATGAATGCAGATAAATCTCAAAAATATATTATTATGGTATGATTTAAATTATATAAAATTTAAAAACCATCAAAAGCAACTCAATACTTTTTATGGAAACACACATTTACAGTAGTTATTACAAACCTACCAAAAACAAAAACAAACAACCTCATGGGAGCAAGCCCAACAAGGGTGTGGAAGAACTTTATGGAGAAAATTCACCTTTTCTGAAGACTAGTTGATTGTCTTCACGTTTAGCAAAATATGCATGGAATGATACACATCAATTGAAGCGAGTGATTATGTTTAGGTAGGAAAGGAGGAAGGAAAAAAGATTGAGGACACTTCTAAAAAAGTGATATGAAGCCAACATGGCAATAATAAGACGTAACTCTGGATGGTAGGCCTGAAATATTTCACATAGAGATTGAAACGTCATTGGTATGCACATCACATTTCGCTCTCTCCTTTAAGTTTTGTGTATAACGTATCGGTCAGGAAGAGTGGTGTTATGTCAGACATTTCCAGCCTGTTTGGGGTCTATCTTCTTCCTACCCAGCATGGCCACACATCAGAGCACATGGACAGTCCCTGTGTCTTTGACTGCAAGAGAGTTATCCTGTGTGGCTCTAGAGCTGACACAAAGTGATGGGCAGTTTCTGCTTCAGAAGGTAGCCATGACTCTCCACAGAGGCCACCCTTCCTGACATCTGAGCTCTGTTGTCATGTCCAGGTCTGACTGGGACGATAATGCAGCGTCACTGTCTTAATATTCTTGAACTGTTGTAACAATACACCACAGACTGGGTGGCTCGCACAGCAGAACATTCTCTCTCAAGTTCCGGAGACTGGAAGCTCAAGGTCAGGGTCCAGCTTCTATTTTGTTCCTGAGAAGCACTTTCTTCCTGGCCTGTAGACAGCCACCTTCTCACTGTGTCCTCCTCATATGGGGAGGAGAGAGGGAGGGCAGGAGACTCTGGTCCCATTGGGTAAGATCCTACCTTTATGATTCACTGACTTCACTTATTTCCTTGCTCTAAATACAGTCACAATGGGGATTAGGATTTCAACATTCAGTCCATAACACCAACTAAAGCAATTATTGTCCTTCAGTCATCCCGGGAACTTATTTTGGGGGGAAGTGGTTACAGGGATTGAACTCGGGGCACTTGACCACGAAGCCACAAGCCCAGCCCTATGTTATATTTTATTTAGAGACAGGGTGTCACTGAGTTGCTTAGTGCCTCACCTTTGCTGAGGCTGGCTTTGGACTTGCAATCCTCCTGCCTCAGCCTCCGAAGCCACTGGGAATACAGGTGTGTGCCACTTCGACCTGGATGGAACAAATGTTATTACATAAGAACTTGCAGAGCCATTAGGTGACAGATAAATCGAGTGGGCTTGCTTTGAATGCCACCAGCACTTTCTGCTACTGTCTTATCAGACACACACCAAGAACATTGGCACTTTCGACACTTAAAAGAGGGTTGAAAGTAAATCTATGCCACTTTGCACTGGAAAAAATGAAATTAAATGAAAAATTTGAAAATATCAATCTAATATTTGATATCTATTATCCCAACTGTTAGATGCAGTGTGAAGCCGAAAAGCAAGGGGAGACCAGATGTATGGAATTTCTGTTTTTCCCTGGAGCACTGACAAACCACTGTACTTGACATGGAATAAATACTTAATAAAAATTTAATTTGTGTTCATAACAAATGTATGAGAGTCTGTTATTGAGGTATCCCCATA